ATATTGGTCAGTGCTTGGCTTAACATGAACCAGTAGTGTGGTAGGAAGGCCAAAGGCATTCTGGCTTGTATCAGAATTAGTTTTGCCAGCAGGAACAGGGAAGTGATCATCCCTCTGTACTCAGCCCTGGTGAGGCTGCACCTCCAGTACTGTGTTTAGTTTTTGGACCCCTCACTACAAGAGAAACTCAAGACTCTGGAGTGTGTCCAGAGAAGAGCAGCAAAGCTGTGAGAGGTGTGGAGCACAGGCCTTATGAGTAGTGGCTGAGGGAACTGGGATTGTTTGGTCTGGAGAAGGGGAGGATCACGGGAGACCAAGAAATGTTTAGATGTTGTACTAAGGGACATGATATAGTGGGGACTATTGATGATAGGTGGACAGTTGGATTGGATGATCTTGAAGGTCTTTTCCAACCTTGATGATTCAATGATTCTATTCTGAAAGACAGCTTTAACACCTTTTACAAGAATAATGACTGTGGCCTTAATCAGCTTTATGCTGGAGGGGCTTGTTTCCTACTACCAACATCACCAGCCCTCTGATACGTACCTTTCTTAGCCTGTTCAAGTTCAGTAAAGTTCTGTTACATCCTTTGGTCAAGCCTTCTCAGTCAAAGGTGTTTGAAGATAGGCAAATGTGTCAAATTGATTCTACTTTATGGTAGAATGTGATATTAAGTAGGAGGTAATGCAGGAAGGGAATCAAAATGTTTGGCCAGTGGTTGCAGAGTGCAAAACGTGCCATATTTTTAGTATAATGAAGATTGCTTTTTCAATGAAATGATTTCTTTTTTTTTTTTTCAATTGTTATTTATTCTGCCAAGAAAAACTGAAGTTCTCATGCAGAATAGTATGGAGATATCCTTCTGATTTTTGAGTTCTGATTATCTACAACCTCTCAGGTTTTGAGACTCATAGCTGTCAACTCTTAAGGAGAAGAGAGATCTATGGATCATGTCAAAACTAGTGTGTTTCAGGATGTTCTGAATAAATCTCTTTTCTCTTCTTGTTAGAACTATTAAAACTGTAATTTCTCAGACTTCTTTCTTCTTTTAGATGGCGAAGGGTATTTGCTTCACACTTAACATTAACTTCAAAGTAGAAAACTTGGAGATTTTTCTGGGAGGGGCCCTGGAAAGATGAATTCATCTCAGGCTTTAGCAATTACTTCATGCTCTTAGACAGATTATTACAAAGGAAAACATACTTCTTTTCCTGATGTTTACTATTTGACAGAAGTGAGCTGATTTTCTAGTTCTGTGTTGATTTATTTCCCCTTATATTTTCTAATGTGTTTTAAGATGACAATTTGAAATAACTTCAGATGTATGTTTTAAACCTCTACTTTGTACCTGTTAGTAAAATGCATAATTTTCCAAACGAGGTATTTATGCATAATTAATTTAAGGATTAAGGAAAAGCAGAAGGTGTGCTTGATCTGCATGTAGTTAAACTGCATGTAGTTAAACTCGTCTCCTCTGGAGGTACTGTGATATTAACTTTCTCCACAAGATGGCAGTAGAAAGCTGCTGAAGTAGCCTGTATCTGAGTATGTTAATAATTAGTGCTAATTTTGAACGTTGCAAATTAATTACTAATGTTTACTTAGTGCAGTACATCTAAGAATACTTGTGTAAAGACATCTAAGAATACTTGTGTACTTTCTTCTTTTGCAGAATGACCTAAAGCCTACAGAAGCAAAAAAGAAAATCCAGCATGTTACATGGCCATGAATCAGCTAGTGGTGCTCAAAACATAAATGTTACTCCCATATTTTCAAACAGATAAGTCATATTTCAGCAATTTAGGTACACTTCTTTTTAAACCTTGCAGGGATTCAGATTGCTGTGAAGTTTTAACAAATTTAAAAGTTCCCTCTTGTAAATCTGAAGTCATTATCACCAGTCACCTTAAGAGCGTCTGCTATTTTAAACCAAGTAATTTATTCCCTCTTTAAAAGATAGTGATATTACGATATACTAAACCCTCCACTTTTGTTTTTCAAGATTATTATAGTTCATCTCCTGCACATCCCTACAGGTCACACACATAAATACTCTTTCTTGTTTTATTTTGTTTTCAGTAAGGTTCACTTTTTGTTCCAGTTCTGGGTAAGTAGTTAAAACAGTTATTGAGATTCAAGGGATCCCATGAGTGTTCTTGATTACAAAAAAGATATTTCATTTAGATGAGAAAACTAAATGTTCTGCTAGTAAGATAGTTTGAAACAACTTTCCTTTTTGTTGAATAGAATATGAGTGTAGTGCAAGTTAGGTTGGTAATAAGAGATGAACTATTTAACAGCATTACTTCAAATTGAAGTTTCTCTTACTGACTTATGAAATAAATGCACAGATGGTAATATGATATTAAATTGTCTGATAGGAATCTTTGAGAGGAAGTAGCGAGTGAATTAGTGCCATGTTATCTTATACACAAAGGCATATTTTACACATGTGGAAGTGTAAAAATGTGCCGATAAAGCAAATTTGCTTGTTTTCCTGGATACAGTCATGTTGGTAAAATATGGGGAAAACTTATGGAATGCATACTAGTGCTTTCTCAACTTAGTAACAGTTGGAGAGGGATTGGGTCAGGAAGACAAAGAAGTACCTTGAGAGCATTAGTATATGTAGGTGCACATTTTTCTCCCTAATTCTTTTATTCCTTTTCTTTCCTGTGGTTGTTTAAGGTGGATACTGGTTTTCTATGAAACTTGAGATTACATCTGGATCAATTGGTAGTGCTCTCGTAAGGCAGGAATCAAGTTGATGCAACTTTTTTATTAAATCTCTGTGGCTCAGGGCGAAGCCCATCTAGATCCATTTTAGATGTGGACAGTAAATAACAGTAATCCTTCCAGATTTAGTAAAACAAAAAATCCACTTCTGAATCCTCTTAACTCACTAAAAGATGCTGTCAGTAGTGACCTGAGAACTTGTTTACATTTTTTTAGATTGGTTAGTGTTAAAACCAAAAACTGTAGCTTAATTCATTACTGACAGTTCTCCATTCAGTTACAACATAAAAGGCACTTCTTGAATGCTGTAAAATGGTAAGAATGTGTGTATTTTGAAATTGTGTGCTGTTTCCCTTTTACTAAACACTTGTGCATTTTTTTTGTACTTGAGTACAGCAAACTTTAACGTAATACACATTTTGTATGTAAAGAGTTGTCTTTTAAGTAGCCTTATCCTATTTAAATAAATTCAATTAAAAGCAAACTAAGCAGTTCTGACTTGTTTTTATGAAGCAATTAGGCCACTTCATTTTATACAATTATATTTCAGTGGACTTCAAGTGAATAGAATTTGAAGCTCACAGTAGCTTGTAGAAGGCTTTGTTGGAATTTTAGCAGCAGTTGGTATCATGTGAAGTGCTGATCCTTGCACTAATGTAGCTGAAGGGAATTCTGTTTTGTGGGTGGCTTCTTAGTTGGAATCTAGGTTATATTTTGTCGTAGTTCCAGTTGGTAGAAGAGTGTATGTGTGTGTGTGTTAGTGTGTGATTTGCAGAACTACTGGAATGCTATCCTGATGCTGTTAGTGCATGGTCATAGTCATGGGTAAAGCTAAAATGCTTCCCAGTCTTGCCGTGTTTCACCTACCTTTCCTTAAAGCCAGGATCATTCTAATTTCTGTAGTCTGGGAGGCAGGGTGCAAGCCATGCTTTTCTTACTGTACTACACTACTTCCCTGGATGATAGCAGTCCTTCTCTTAGCAAAGTACTAGAGCAGAGTTGCAGTGTGCTGGGGATTGTCAGGACCCCAGAGGAGAGTAATTGAGGTAGGTGGTCTTGTGCTTCGGAAGGTATGGATATGAAAAGGATTTTTCTGGCTCTTCTTTACTGCAACTTTAATTGTAGAATGAAATGACAGAAGGACAGATTTTAGTCATTATTTAATGAGATTGGATTAGCAGGATATGCCCTTCAAAAATGTCAGATAGCAAAGTTCTTCAAACTATACTAATAGTTCTTCAAACTATACTAATCTGATCCAAAACATCTATTTATCTTATTGAAATACTGACAGAGGAATGGCCTGTGACTGCTTGATGCTTGGTACTAAGAAAAAGAAAAAAAAACATCAAATTCAAGAGTGGCAGCAAGAATTAGAAGCAAAATTACCTTGCACAGTTAGGTACAGAGTAAGTGCAGGCCTAATTCTGCTTTCCATGTGTGAAGATCACGGAATCACAGAATGATTTGTGTTGGAAGGACCCTTAAAGACCATACAATTTCAACCCCCTGCTGTGGAGAGGGACATCTTCCACTGGATAGGTTACCTGTGGCCATGTCCATCCTGGCCTCATCCATCCACCTCCAACAAAGCTTCTCTGGGCAATCTGCTCAGTGCCTCACCACCCTCATAGGAAAGAAAGATTCCTGTTGGAAGAATGGTGTTACTTTCCTCCTCTTCTGTGAAATAAATTCCATGCGAAAGGTGTACTGGGCTTGTGCTTTGCAGAATTTGACCATGTTCCTTGAAGTGTGCTTTGGGAAGATGGTTATCATCCAACAACTGTTTTCCTCTTAATTTTATTGCCTTTGTAGCAGATACATAGCAGAGATGATGCTACAGCAAATGATTTTACGTATTGCTGTACAATAATAAAATTAAAACATACCCTAAAGTAGAAGTTAAACTTGTGACTTTCATAAAGATAAATGTTGTTTTAATTGTTTTAACCTTGGTTGCTGAAAAGAGTATTTTGGTTTTGAATTTAAAGCCTATGAACATGCTTTAATCAGCTGCACTCAAATCAATATGTTCACATAGTTTAGTTCTGCTAATAACTCTCCCAGTGACTGCAATTAGTAGAAGACTGATGTATCAGCAAGGCCTGTGTGAGGATTGTTTAGCACCACAATTTCCTAGCAAGTTGAGTGTGCAAAAGAAGTTTGTGTATGTGTGGCTCTTACATTGTGTTTTGTAAGACTGTGAAAGCATTCTATTTGTAAATATCCAGTATGTAAATGCAGTTAAACCACGGTAACAGTTTTGTTTTAACTTTTGACTTTTATTTTTAAAAATACAATGTGCAGTGTAATGTTGACTAAATGTAATACTGACACTGTCGATCAGAACTGTACTTCACACAATGATCAGCTAGTCATGCAATAAAATACATATCTGTTATGAAGCACTCCCACTTCAACTGTTTTATCATTCTCTTTAACATTGCACAAAGCCTTGTACTTTAAAAAAACACCCTCTATGTCTGTAGTCTTTCTACATACTTGACAGCACACACTAGTCACATAGCTCAAGAACACTGAGGTGAGACCACAGCCTTATTGAAGTTGAATGCTGTTTGCCACTGATTTCAATAGGCTAGGGGCTTCACCCTGAATATCCATCTGTGAATTTATTGCCTGTGGCCACTGTAATCCTTGAACTGTATCACTTGCTCATAACTTAAATCAAATGCTTAATCTGGAATATTTAGTGGAGGAAAAAAAAGTGTATTATGTCAGTGACACCCAAATGGCTTTACAGCTCAGCTTTTGCGTTAGTTTTGGTTAGCTATAGAAATCTTAAACACCATCCTGCTACTAGAGTTTCCAAAGTTGTTTTCCTTCTATACTTGTAGAGTTTGAAATTCATAAGAAGGTTAAGTGATGTTAATAGTACAGCAAAACACAAAAGGGCAAAGCTAGTTTTGTGTGTTTCGGACTATGAATTGCAAGCACAGCATTCTTCCTCTCTTCCCTGTTTCTTGTTTTGAGCTTTAGATATCCTTCCCACATTCAGGGCAGAGGATGTCATCCCTTTCTGTAAGGAAGCCACGACCTACTAATGAGAGAGAACACTTCTTGCAATTAAAGCAATCATTGTGCCACTGCCGCTCTTCAAATGAGATGTACTTGGTTCCTCCCAGACCTGTTCAAAAACAGAAGAAGTTCTGTTACCAGAAGAGAAGAGCCATTACATGATGCTCCTTCAGATTCTACTTCTGGATGGTTACAGACATCTGACAGAGTAGTGAAAAAATATTGTTGTATCAAATCTATTCTGTTTGTTGCTGTGTGAATATTGCCACCTTATTCTTGAATGAGTAGGATTTTCATCATTAAGTAGTTCTGCTGCTTTTAGCTGAGTTGGTGAACTGGGTTGTTAGTACTTTGGGTTGTGGCAGAAATAAGCTTTAAATGTAGAGATGGCTCAGCTCTTAGCTTGCAGCCAAAGAAAAGGAAAGCGATTGCCTCTGAACTACAGGAGAATGGTGGTCATTTACAGAATATTTGTGGTGTCAGAGTAAGTTAATTTTGTTTTGTAAAAATGCATTGAGATCATTAGAAATGAAGTCTGGGCAGATTGTGTAATGACTTGATTCATAGATTTCAAGGAGGAGTGCTTCAAGAAAAGTAGGTTATCAAAAATAATTCAGAAGTGTGAGGCTGTGGAGGTTATCATACGGGATATAGGAATTTTACAGAATAAAAGAGAAGAGGGGCAATTTTCTCTTATAGTGGTAATTATTTAACTATAGAAATTATAAGCAATTTGAGCATGATGAATTAGAATTGACTAGCTGAAAGTCAGTAAAAGGATTTCATAGAACATATCACTTAATGAGAGGGTTTTTTGCTTTGCATTTAGTAGCAACAATTTTGGGGAAAAAGAAAACAGCATGTGAAAGAAAGACATTTCTCTTGAATATCAGTCCTCTTGTGAATGGGTAATAATAAGAAAGGTGTTATGCAGTGACATTTCCAGGAGATATACAAGCAGGCATACGTTAGTGTGGGGCAGAACAGAAGTAACAGGAGAGAGAATGGTTCAGAATCAACATAGATATGCAATCTTGGTGTTAAATGCTGATTAGGTGATTTTGAGTAGGTGATTTTAAGTGTTTCAAATGTAAAGAATGACTGCTTACGGCTTTAGAGTACTGTTATAGTGGAAAGCAGTATGTAAAAGCATTGAGATTCTCAGTTGCTGTCCTGAAAAATCAGGAAAGAAGTATGCTATGCAGCAGTGAAAGGTGTAAGCTGGTTAAATGTTGCTGGCTGAGAGACTGTTGTTACTGAGGTCAGCGTTCCCTCATGAGCACAAGTGAAGTGATTTACAGGACATGGATATATTCCACCGCATGCAGAAATGTCACTGTGTGTCCACTGTTTTTCATACAAGCGAGGTGAAATGGAAATGGAACAAACTTCAGCTTAAGGACTTCTTTCACATCTTTTTGTTAAGGCAATTGGATGGCATCATGAGTATTTCAGTTCACAGTTCCTGGCCTGTGTAGTGTCTCCATTCTCTCAAGCTAGTCGGAATGAATTACTGAACCATTATTAATATTAGATGCAGTTCAATGGAGAAAACAATAATAAAGTGACTCTCCGTGAGAGACCTACCACTGATTGGGTTTGTGCATCCAGCACACTTTTTGGCATAGAGATTGCAGAAGCAACTCAGGCAATACGCAAACTCATCCCGGGAGGTAAAGCGTTGTCCGGACAACTGCTTCTTGCATCCAGTGCAGACAAAGCACTCCTTATGCCAAGGCTGCTCCCGGTAAGTCACACCTCCTGTAGTGATAGCCTGTTTTATGGAAAGTAAGACAGAAAGTATTATTTTGAGAGTGGCAGATTTTCATCTTCATTTGGTAAAGGGGAAGGTTGATGAGGTTTTTGTGGCTAGGAGGAGGGAAAGAAGACTTAATGGCAGCAAAATCATCATTTTGTCTGGAGTTAACCTTGAGAAGAGTGTGCGAATGATTCATTATAATTTCCCAATTTATACAAAGGAGCCTCATACTAAAAGTACTTTATTTTCTGAATTCTTTATAATTTCAGTCTAAATTGCCCTCTTTATTTTTAAAGCTGGTCTCCTTTGTAGGTGATTCTTTCATGTGCTGTGAGACAAATATGTGCTTGTTCACCTGTCCCATTCTTCACAATGGAAAAACCACCTTCAGTTCTTGCTAATTCCCTTGACAACAACTGCTTTATTTCAAATTTTACCTGAAATCTTTGCTTTCTGCTTCTATGGATTTTGTCTGGGCTTTTTCCTCTTATGATACCTTGTTCCCCGATGTTAGACAAAAGAAACATTTCTTGTTCTTGCAAGTGTTTCTCAGAAAGCTGTAAAACCAGTTTAATTTTTCTTCCTATCTTCACTAAAGGGAGATTCCCTGGGAAGTCAGCCTTGTATACAAACATGCAATCCAATATGTGTGTTCATCTGTCTTTGCCTCTTTTCTGTGTATGAAGTCTGCTCTGAAAGTAATGCAATCTGGAGTACGTGGCAGACATAAAAAGTTTTGGTAATATAAGCAGAAGTGATGGCTGGAAGCATGCAGAAGGTAAAACAAAACATGGAAGAAACTATTGGAAGGAGGGTTAAAACTACGGATATATCCACACTTAAAACCTATGCGTATATTGATAGGAAATTGGTATTTGTTGGTTCTGTGAACTATGAGATGACTTTTTAAAATCTACTATTATTAATAGGAAGGAATACTGAAAGTCTTACTTTTGTCTGAATTGAATTTAGGAAATACACAAATGAATGATCTTGAGCCTGGAAAGTTACATTCTCTAGCATACTGAGCTTACTAGTTCTTATGTCAGGAGCAGCATTTGCATTGTGTAAAATTAACTTTTCCATCTTCAACTTCATTAAAATATTTAAAAAAATAAAATCTGTGTTAGCTCATCTCCCTTTCAGTTGAAATGTTTGGGTGTATGGTATGTGTTGGATTACATTGGAGATAGGAGGTTATTCCAATGCAGATGGGTTTTTTTGCTTGTTTGCTTTCCAAAACAAATCCTCTGTAGGCTTTTGATGTAAAGGTATCTTTAACCTTGAGTAAGAATTCTCACTGAAGTAACTTTTGTGCCTGGTGTAGAATAGGAGTTTCAACTCCTATTCTCCTCATCTCTAAAACTCCACTGAATCGTTAACAGAGAAAAATGTTGGGTTTTTTTTCTTCACATAATTGGACTTAAAATGTGATGGAGTTCAATCCCCAACATTATAGGTAAATAAAACAAGAACACTACCTTCTTGCACTGGACGCACTGCATGGCAAACTGCTTTTCATAGCAGGGAACACAAAAGTTCTGATTGTCTTTAGGAATGAAACTCTTTGTCCCAATTGGTTGCTGGCAGCGGTAGCAGATAAAGCACGTCTCGTGCCAGCTGTTGCCTTTGTATTCCATCTTCCGAGTACCTGTAATGAGACCAGAAAATAAACTGAATTTATGGCTGAGGCTAATGCAATTTGTAACTTTTGTTTACATGACAGCTGGCTGTTGGAAAACAAGTAGTACAGCTATGAGAGAGTGGCTTTGTGTGGCATTGGGTGAGTTTTTGGAGAGTAAGTTGTTCTCCTCCTAAAAAGAAGAGAGGCATTTTCTGCTAATAACATTTACTGCTTTGGCCACTTTTTAGTGGACTGACATGATTTTCAGTGATTAGAAAGCTGAGGAGGTGATAATGTATTGGCTAATTATAAAGAATAGTAATAACTCCTCTGCAGGATGAAGTTTTCCCAATCTCCCTTTCTCAATATTAATTCTTCGTTTACTAGTAGTGTAATTTCATTTTTTTTCTTCAGTCTCGTTAAATTGTGCCCAGAGGCATACTTTAAGATTTTATTTTTTTTAAAGACTGGCTTGTGCATCATTAACCATTTCTCTGCCCGTTTCTTACATACTCAAATATTTCTGATCCATTTTATTAATGGACACCTTTTAAGAATTATGCCTTCTGTGTGCTGGTTATTTTTTGTCTGGCACCAAAAGGAACAGACGAGTTAGTCCTTGAAAGAATGACATCCTGAGAAAAGATGAAAGATGTGGACATATTTTCTTTGGATTGTGTAGAATTGTATTTCCACATTTTTTAGCTGTTCTCTATTTTTGGGATTGTGTTATTACTAAAACAGAAGGCAAGAGGAATCCTGTTTATTAGTTGCTCATTTTGATGTTGATGGGAATTCAGTTTGCAGAAGAACTGAAAGATCAAGCTTGTAATTGCTTAGCATTTAATAAGCTCGTCATTAAAATGCTTTATAAAATCAAGGGTATCTTGAGTAATCTGCTGAAAACCATGTGGTAGTTGCAAAGGTTTGTAAAAATTGGTTTATTCTGTTTTGAATTGAAAGAGAAGAAGGGACTCTGAGTCACTGAATCCCAATTCCATTATTACCTGTCAGTCTGTAACTTGTATAATAGACAGAGTTCTGTTCTGTAAGTGAGTTCTTACAGGACTGAATTCATTGATCAAAACTTGAAAAAAATATTTTTCAGCTTTAAAATTAGCACTGTTCTTAGATGTCAATTTTTCATGCTGTATCGGAAAAAACAGAGGCACATGCAATAATAAAGATGCTTGTACACAATCATAATCATTATGTTGGAAGGACCTCTCAGATCATATATATATTGGAGCTATGAGATATGGTTTAGTAGCTTGTGGTACTGGGAATGGGAGGGTGGTTGGACTAGATGATCTTGCAGGTCATTTCCAACCTTGTGATTCTATGATCATCTAGCCCAGCCATCAACCCCCTCACTGTGCCCGCTAACCATGTTCCTTTCATTTTAGGAATGAATATGTCCATCTGCTTTTACATATCTCCGTTGTTTCTTATTTATATGTCTCCATCAAGCCCTCATTTTTATCAAAACATCTTAGATACACAAAGTGGTGTTTTCCAGCTTTTGTCAAAGATAACAACAGCCAAGGAAAAAATTACTGAAAGAAAGCAACTAGCAGTCATTGTGAAGTGTACTTTTGGATTCTTCAAATTGCCTTCTATTTTTTATTTCTGAAACCAATATTTCTTCCAATTTAAGCCCTCAAATAATGACCCATGTCAATCAAAAGACAAGCGCTTTAGTATTGTCATGAGTAAATGAGGCTTTACCAATCCAAATATTACCAATCTATACCTACAACTTTCTGCTTCCAGCACTGGTTTTATGGGATACCTGACTTGAAAGAGAAGGTAGCTCTTTCCTATTTCTTTATACCTTTCAGCTCAAGAAGACCTTAGAAGTATTTTGACCAATTATTGACTTTTATTGAAGAATCTAAATTTTGGCTGTTTATGTAAAAGCATATGACATGAATTAAGTAAATTTAAACTTGTGAACTTCCTCTGATATTCAAGCATGAGGAGCCAATTGAGAAGCTGGGACTGGACAGATGAGTTGCCCAGCTATCAATAGCCTTTTAATAAATACTTATGTAGAAAATTATAGATCTCATGAACAAAAATGCTAAATTAAATAGATGCTAGCTTTCAAGAGAAACCTTTGTGTATATCAATTCTGTCAAGATCCACTCTGAAAACTGTGGGTTCTGATTACAGGGATAACTTAGAAAGCATCATCAGCCGTGTTTTAGGAAGTTCACCAGGATTCAGCAGAGAAGGTTAAGGAAAAATGTTTGTCACTAATGTTGCAGAGATTAGGCTTGATATTAAACCTGATCTTTCCTCCGCCCCAAAAGTCAGTATCCTGACCTGGCATGATAGTCTTCTTGCACTCATTACATTTGGAAGAGTATTCATTGGAGTAGCAATCAGTACAAAGTAGGTGTTCCTCTTTTGCAGCGAAAGGCTTGTCCACCAATGAATTCTTGCACTGGAAGCAGTGGAAGCAGGTTTCATGCCAGTGGCGGTCCTTGTAAGACAGATCCTGTAGAAATTAAAAACCACGGAATAAACAGAATGAATGGTTTGCACAGATGGAAGTTCAGGGAATGCAAACATGCAGATCTGAATCAGACAGAAAGTAAGGCTAATTTGCATGGCTCAGGAAAATGGCGTTGTGATGCAGGTGAGCCTGTTTTACTGCGGTTGCCAAAAGTAGCTGATGACAACCATCAGTCTGCTTTCAATTCCAGGTCAACTGAATTCAATTTCAGTTCAGCAGAGGAACAACCAGTTTCATTTAGGTACTTCCTTCGAGGATGAAGTCCTGGTTTTGATCCAGATCAGATCTTGTTAACTGTAGAGATATAATGGACTTCCTAAACCTTTCTTAGTTATTGCCAATTTCTAGGTCATCTTGTAGTTTCTTGTTATCCTTTTTTCAGTCACATTTGGATGGTTTGCCAGGTTTAAACCAAGGGTGAAATTGGCCTGATGCTTGTTTCTTTGTGTGCATGCTGGAATTAGTTTTTAACCAAGTCTTGTGCTTCATTTTATATATGTTTCAAATGAGAATCGGATGCCTTGATGGTGATTGAACACTCTGGAAGATGAGAGACCGTTGTGTACCTGCAGCAACTGATCCAGAGTACCCTTAACCAAGGAATTAACACCTTGGAACACATAGGTTATTTGAAATATCTCCCTTTTAAATATAAAAATATTTAATTAATACTTGTATTAATTAAAACAAAGTTACAACAAAAAAAAGACACATGCTGGTAAAAACCAGTCTTTAGAATTGTGACTTACATAGATGGATTGTGTCTTTTAAAATTATAGATAGCCTAATTATATAACATTTGAACTGTGTCTTTGGGAGATCAGGCAATGTGCAGTTCATATCATTACAAGAGAGAGTATCTGCCCATCTGCTAAACCTTTTGAAACAACCCAAATTTCTGACCATAAAATCTCAGACTTTTCTAAAAGCAAAATGAAAACAACAACAACAACAACAACTTAATTTAAATGAAATTGAGTAGACTAAGTCTGTTCTCAGAAGGGAATAATATTGTCAACAGAAAAACAACTCACAGCCAACAGCTTCCCTAGATGTGAAATTTGCCTGCAAGAATACAGAATGACAGCAGATCTGTTTTTCTTCCTGTTGCAACAGGACATATTCAGTTTTTCCCACATGCTGCCTTTTTCCTCATTTTGCAATATTCTACAGGCTGCTTTTAACATCCCAAACTCACATGCTGATATTTCCTTTTGTTTTGCCTTATTTTATCAATAAAATTATGCCACGCAGAGGTGCAGTAATGAAGAAAAGGATTTGGTATTACTGATGACGTGTTTAATCCTTGGATCAGTTATGATGGCAGATTGTATAGATCATAGTGGAGTAGGTCAAAGCAGCAGACACTTCATCATGGCAAAGTGATGAATCATTGCTGTAACCCAATGAAAGCAAGGTAGACACTGGTGTGAGTAATCTTTAGCCAGCCTGGATGATTATAACAGATACTGTCATCAAATGTAGGGGATGTTTAAGATGTCTGACATTGATGTGCCTGCAGCAGAGTATTGGACAGATTAAATGGTTATTGTCTTCTCTCTCTGAATCTGTCAACTGAAGCAAGGAAGTCCAAGGTACTGATGAAACACTTTCTGAGTTGTTTCACAGTTGTTCTTAGGTCAGTGTAATGAAGTCACTGGGTATCAGGTTTTTTCTACATCGGTGTACTGTACATCTAACTGGAACCACTGCACATAAGTTATAGATGTATTGACCTGGATCAGATACCGTGCTGGAGCAGCTGTGGCTACAGAAATGACTTCAAGCTTGTCTGACTGCTAGCCTGGTGCTCAGTTAAGCTGAAAGAGCATTTGATTTACTCAAGGCATGGGAGCTTGAGTTACTCTAGCTGATTGTAACCTAAGCAAATGTGTTCTAGCAGAACACAGAAGTAATATACAATTAATTCCTGTTTATCTCCTGATTTTCCAGGAAGAACTGAAAAAGAGAATTGCTTCTGTGTACTCAGGACTGGAGTATATCTTTAAAATACCGATGAACATGACTTCTTGTCTGCCTAATGCAGCTTGAGAGAAATTAGTCCCCAGTACTACACCCTTGAGCTGTAGTTTTCCATGGTCTCTTATGTTGCCTAAAAGAAACCTGGAAAATAGTTGTCTTTACCAGCAATCTATGCATCTATGAAAACGGACTGCCATGTGCTCTTGTTAGATAAAGCGCTAATAGTTACAGGTAAAAGACTACAGAACTACCATAGATTGAAATTCAAGAAGTGGAACTGAGTTTATCATAGAGGCATAGAATGGCCTGGGTTGAAAAGGACCACAAAGATCATTCAGTTCCAACCCCCTGCTATGTGCAGGTTTGCCAACCACCAGACCAGGCTGCCCAGAGTCACATCCAGCCTGGCCTTGAATGCCTCCAGGCATGGGGCATCCACAGCCTCCTTGGGCAACCTGTTCCAGTGCATCACCACCCTCTGTGTGAAAAACTTCCTCCTAGTATTTAAACTAAACCTGCCCTGTCTGAGTTTATAACTATTTCCCTTTGTCCTATCACTATCCACCCTCATAAACACTCATTACCCCCTGTGTACAAGATGAAGTCTACCCTGTGCAAGTCCTCTCAGCAAGGAGGTTAGAGGCATTAGAAGAGTAACAGCATGTTTGTTCATGAATGAAAAGCACATCGAACTTTTTTGCTTGACGTAATGTTATTTTCAGAAGGATGAGCATGGGAAATAGGGTAGAATAATCAGTGTGCAGACTTTGGCTGTGAGCACCCTCATTATGTTAGACAGGTACTTCCCTATCAAAAATGTGTTTAGAGAAGATGAAATTAAGCAACGTTAGTCAGCACTGTAGTGATGTGAGAAGAGATGAAAGGATCTTTCTGTCACCATTCCTCATCACAACATCTGGTCCAATATTTAGCAGTGCACCAAGAAAGTGCTAGTGCTACGACTCAAAACAAGGGTTGAAAATTAGGACATCTTTTCTCCTTTTCCCAATCCATATTATAAGATGCTTTATTTTTCGTTTAGTTTACATGTAAGACTGACCATCTGACTCATTTTGACCTAAATGCTGCCACAGTAGCTTTATCGCGCAACCCGCTTTTCATTTCACTCTCACATTTTGTAGAGGGAATTTTCAACCTCTCCTGCTGGCCAAAGCCAGCTTGTGGTCTGCACTGAGCACTTGATCACTGTCGGTATTTTCTGTATTTGTGACGATTCCGGAGCCAGAGCACCTGCAAAGAAACTGTTTTTAAAAGGCAAAAATCAGCCTCAGCCCAAAGTCACATTTAAACAGTTAAGCAGATGAGAACGTAATGGATAGATTTTTGCCCAAGGAGGCTGTGGATGCCCCATCCCTGGAGGCATTCAAGGCCAGGCTGGATGTGGCTCTGGGCAGCCTGGTCTGGTGGCTGGCGACCCTGCATGTAGCAGGGGGGTTGAAACTAGATGATCATTGTGGTCCTTTTCAACCCAGGTCATTCTATGATTTCCAGAAAGGAGTGTGAAGCAGTGGGTGTAGTGAGCAGATATGGGCACTGTAATGCCAACTTTTCCTTCTTAGAAGGAGCACATTTCTACCAGGGCCTGCTGGCATATGGATAATGTGCAATAGCTGTGAGAGAAATGGCATTGTGTTTTTCTTCTGTCTGCTAGTATCTCCTACTATTCAGCGTATGAAGCTTTTAATCTGTCTGTGAAAATTTCATAAACATCAGCTGAATTATTTGCAATTTACAAAATGGCCTAAATCCAAAGGTGTAATTAACATCACATGCTGTCATTCAGGCTTTTTTTTTTGTGTGTGTGTGTGTGTGTAGAAGACAACATTTAAAATAAATAAAAAATGTTATTACTCAGTTACATACACAATTACTCAGAAATCACCATAAAAAACATTGAAAGATGGTGAAGCAAATTCTCTCCTGCTTTGTATTCAAAGGCAGCTTGTCTTCAGGGTAACTAATTTATGGGCTCCTTATCCTGGAAACATGAGGTGAAAATGTGGCATTGGCTCAGTCCTCCCAGAGCCCAGTCCAAATCTGAATGTTACCAGTGCCAAAGCAGGCTGAAGTGTCATGCAGGTGAGATGACACACAGCAAGGAGAACACAGTAGGGTCAGAGATGGAGAAGCAGCTGTCTTCTTGTCACCACCTGGTTTACTCTGGGGTAAGCCCTTCAGCTAGGGGAGAGTTGCTCTTGTCCACTAAGAGAGAAACCTTCTCACTTTTGTTCTGATTGGTTTTGTATGGTAATTTTCACCCAGACAAGTAAGTATTTAAGATGCTATCAAAGCTAATTCTAGCTTTGCACCTACTTCTGTGAAAGAGAATTCACTCCGGAAATTGGGAGCTTCAAATCTTAATCATAATCTTTAGTCTCGTATTTTGGAAGCTCTAAGAAACAGCTGTAGACTAACTAAGCCATCTGCAAGAAGGAGATTCATTGCAGAGTGAAATGAGGAGCATCGTTTTTCCAGCCTCAATGTTTCTATATTTCTGTGGTTGAACTGGATGATTGCAGTGGCCTTTTCCAACCTTTGTGATTCTGTCTCCACTGCAACTGAGTTCTCAGTTCAGCTCTCTTCGGTGCAGAGAAACAGCAGTGGCCAAGATGGGATTCACAAAGGAGAATCTGAGTCGAGAGCTAAATGGAGCTTTTCAAGTTGTCCTGTGGATGTAGGGTGGGTGATAACATTTTTACTACACTATGTGTCTGTTCTGTGAAAAGCTGTACAAAGATTTTGTCAGATTAATACATACTGAGTCCACTTTGTACATGCGGTAAGCATGGTTTTATTCCCAAGCACAGTATGTTGTCTGCACTGTATTGCAAATGTAATACATAAAATATATACATACAAATACATGCATATGTATGACTGTATGCATATTTTTATCTATTTATGTACATATGTGTATATACAGTTAAATAAGTATCAGAAGCATGATAATGTGATTGTGCCTTATGGCTGAATTATGCTCAGCCACAGTGCTTTGACTGAAACTTGTGGCTGAGGCACTTGCAAGGACTCTCTCAAATGCATTCTCGAGTGTCTATTACTGTAATTGAAAAATGACTCTAGTTTGCCTCTCAGTGGGAACATTAATCGAATCCCCTTTTTACTGCTCACCACATATTTTATTTTCAGAAGACTTGCAGGAGCTTGCTAAGTTTGGAACTTTTCTTCATCTGTAAAAATGTGCTTAAAATTGGTCAGGTTGAAAAACTATAGCATAAAGGACTGTTTGTAGGCACAAACAGCAGTCACAGAAACAAGGGTGCATTTGTGTCCGGTTCACTTTACAGCTCCTTAAGAACTTTTTATTTGCTATCTTACAGTTGTGTTCTCCACATATATATGTAAATATATAAAAATATGCAGAAAATTTGTGCTTCTCTTTTTTTATGTGTTAGTGTGGGTCTCGCTTAGAAGTACAGAAGAGAAGTATATTGGATAACACCCACTCTCCCTAAATCCATAAATCTGAGTTGAAAAGTTCAGACTGATTAATTCCTGAATACTTTGTCCAAGATTTGTTGAAGGCAGTCCAAGTTTGGAAATTCTTGAATATCAACACATGGAAATAACTTCTCGGGGGATTAGAAAGAGAGCTTAAAACAAAAGCATATTCTAGAATTGGGGCAGAAATATTTTGCTTTTCCAGGTCAGGCCAGCTGTATCTCTTCTCTAATCTGCATATTTATGAGCTGTAGGAAAGCTGGCAGTTTTATAGCTCTTACAGATTATTGCCAGTTCCCTGTCATGATGGTGAAACATGTTCACGTTTTTAAGGCTTCTGAAAGAGGCTTTCCTACCCATTTTCCAATAGGGTAAAATAGATCAGTATGGAAGACACAAGATTTCGAGTTTTTCCTCTCTGGATAAGCGTATGATTTTATATTTCAGAGTCTTTGGAATAATGGTATGGTGCTAGCACCAGTATGAGGAACTAATTGGTGTTTCTAGATGTATGAGCCAGCAGTGTAGGAAATCAAATGTCAGACCTCCACAAACAGATCAAGAATCCCATGGCCATGCAAACTCACTCTGCCAGTGAAACTCTCGGCTAAATTTAACGGGTCCATTTTGGGCAAAGTGGGGGTATATTGGATGAAATCTATTCATGCGAGTCTAACAAGCACCTCAAATTGGATTCCTCAAATATCATCTTTCTTCATTCATCCAGAGTAAAACTGACGTGAACTCCAGTTGTTTTGGTTAATTTGAAAGAACTGCAGGTGGTGCCACCTCATTTAGAGCAGGTAGATGTTGCCATGAGGTGCAGCAGCGCACAGCTAAAGCAAGCAAAGCATCTGCTCTTTCTTTGTCATCTTTAGTTAGACCCTACTATCATTATTCTCCATTTTAAAGGCTAATTGTGTTATAACTCATGTATTAGTTCTTTCAGCATTAGCCAATTTTTTTTGCCTATGAGTTGGCAGCTTTTCCTGAGCATCTTGTCTCTTGATGACAATGAATTATGGTTAGTAAAGAGCTAACAGAGGCTTAGCTCCCTCTGATCCAAAGGTAGGCAATACTGGTTTCTGCCACCTTTCCAAAACCCAGTTGGCCTCAGCGACAACTGGGCTCTCCTTGGGAGACAGAGAGACTTTTTAAGACTAGATCACCCTGTGTCTTACAGGAAGAGAAGGGTGCTTTTCCATTTCTATTATGCTTGTTAAGTCAGGGCTTGCAATGGGAAGTGGTGAAAAGCAGGCACAGGTGTCCAGAAAGCATGCTCTCATCAACTCTTTGTAACCAGTAATCTATACTTATGGATTCTTCCAGCTGATAGCATCATGTCTCAAATACCTTTAAAGTCTCCCACGCAAATATAGTGTTTTCCATATTAAATGATAGTAAAATGTCAGCACTTATTACCTCTGGAAAAAGCTCTCTAAATTTAACACAACTCTGGGGAAGACTGAAGGATCGGCTATATTTTTAGTATCAAATGTTTTCATCTGAAAACTTTTTCTGTGCTCTGGATTATTTCTGTTGCTGCTGCAAAGCACCTATTCTTCTCAGCTATAGTGAGGGATTGCCTGTGCATCATGCCCTCCAGATATGTGTCCTGGGCATTCCCACTGATTCCAAAAATGTGTCTAGCATGTTGATAAGACCGAATCATTTATTCACCACATCAGTGATTAAGATCATAGAATCACAGAATCCTTAGAATGGGAATGGACCTTTGAAGGTCATCCAGTCCAAGTCCCCTGCAATGAACAGGGACACACACAGCTCAATCACATTGCTCAGAATGGCTTTGAATGTCTCCAGGGACAAGGCATCCACCACCTCTTTGGGCAACCTGTGCCAGTGCCTCATCACCCTCACTGTAAAACACTTTCGCCTTTTATCCAACATAAACCTCCCCTCTTTTAGTTTGAAATCATTTGCTCTTGTCTTATTGCCACAGACCCTGCTAACAACTCTGTCACCTTCTTGTAGATGCTCAGGAATCAGCCCATTTCGTGCAGAGGCTTTGTGCCCTAGAGCATAGGTTTTGCTCAGAACTACAGGCCATGTATCTAGACTGCCCTACCAAGATAATGAGACACAGCCTGCCATACCTTGCAGTCAGCTCCAATAGGTTTCTTGCATTCCTCACAGGTGTTGGAGTAGAGGTTTTCATAGCATTTCACGCAGTAGGGGCTGTCCTCCCTCAGGATGTACTTCTTACCAAACAGGGACTCTTTGCAGTAGTGGCAGTCAAAACGCTCAGTCATGCTGATGCCTGGAGTCCAGCTGTCCTGCCACAAAGACAGAAATGGGCACGTCGGACTGAGCCACAGTTGATCTGATACCTCAAGAAGGGCTTGTTATCAATTCCAGTTTATCAAATTCAAATTTCAGTCAGATAAATCAACACAATAGGAGAAAACAAGCTATAAGTCTCACCCTGCTCAAAAAGGCCATAGCCCACTTATTTTAGCCACTCACTAACTTACCTTTGACCAGAGCGAGTGTTGAGACCAGAGAGAGAGGAATATGAGTAAAGCCTACGTGTGAAGAATTCACACGGGATGCTTAAAGAATACCAGGCATGTTTGGCCGTCAAGCCCAGTGCAAAATGCTGACTCTGTAGGGCATGGAGGGAACCAAGTACCTTGAGAGAATGAGCCAGCTAATCTTCAGAAAGACCAGCACAGCTTCTGTAAGGCAAGAAGCAAGTTTTGTGTTGCTGGTAGGCTTTAGTCACGCACAGGGTATCAAGCATCACTGCTGGGCACTTCTGCTCCTTCCTCCTCCACATTCTCAATAAGCCAGTGGCTGGCAATAGTTGCACTGCAGTGAGCCAGTGCCTCTCTTTTCCTGCCCACAGAAGGGACAATGGGCTCTGTTCACAGCAGGAAGTAGGGGGCAATGATTGCGTATCTGGCTCCTCTTTGATGTAGCTGAATGAGTTTGGACAACTTGTCCTGCAGCTGTCGTGTACTGGGACACAAGTGAGAGTTAGCTATTCTGGTTCAGGCAAATGTCAAATTAAGACGAAGCAAAGGAATGAAGGACATGTTATTTCCTCTGCTTGTCTTGTTATGTCTCCAGCATCTTTCGGATGTGCACACAAACAACACTGACACAAACGCCTCTGATTAGCTGCATAAATGTTCATTGTTGCCCGGCACAATTTGTTTTGGGTCTGAGTTTCACTGCAGTCATTATCTTCTTTCTTAGCCTGAGGCTCACAGTGTGTGTTGCACCTGAAGTCTGTTCAGAGGTCACATATGAAGCAGGGCATAGCTGTTTGCTGAAGAAGGGGGAGCACTATGTGACCTTCACTGCTCGCCAGGCCTGCTCTCCTTTAAGCCGGATTTCATCTATAAAGTCTGATATGTTTTGGGTACTAATGTCATCAGCAGCTATCTCTGTCTTTCACACACAAGAGACATTTATAGCAGCTGCAGTCCTTTGGCCAACTTCAGCTCTCAGTTTTAAACAAAAAGTTGTTACTTGCTTAGTGTTCTTGGCACAGGTTCCTTGATTCTGGAGTTTGTCCTTTTCTTTTGGCTGGAGGAGCCACTCGTAGGGCATTCGGAAATTCTCAGTTCTCTTCCAAGATTTCAGTTTTTATCATCTTGTATCCTTTCTCACTGGGGTTTGAGTAATGTTTTAGAGTGGTCTGAATGAACAAAGATTGTTTTGCTGGCTACAAGACTTTCTCTTTTTGATGCTCTGTCAGCTGCTGAATTGTGTGATGATTTGCACAGGCTAAAAGGGGAGAGCTTTTGCATGTGCAAAGCAGGTACATGGCGGCTTAGCTGCTGAGAAGTCTTTTGAGCTCTTTTGAGTAAATGATAAAGAGAAAGGAATTCGTGCTTGGAAGACAAATTTTGACAGCTGGTCAGCTGTGCTATGGCCAGCCCAAATGGAGTGGAGCAGTGGTCCAACTGTTTTGTACAGGGAGGAACTAATGAACTTTCTTATTCCAAAAGAGAGCCAAGAGTGTACAGGTGCTCTCAGTAGAGCAGAGAGGATCGCAGAGACTGATTACAAAAAGATGGAAGGTATGAAGAATTGCGGTGGAGAGAGAAGTGCAGTCTACCCAAAGTTTGTCTGAAGCCAGCAGCAGTGGCTGGCAATGGCAGTGTAAGGGAGGAGAACGAGACACAGAGCTGGAGTAGGGTTATCTTGCCTTTCTATCTGCTTCCAGCAAGTCAGTCTTCTCTAGAAGTGAAGGTGCAATCATTGCCACAACAATTAATAGATTACAGTGGATTTATGTGTATTTGTATTTCCTGTGATAGAGGTAGAGATGAACTAACTTCCTTCAAGAAAAGAATTTCAGCAAAAGAATGGAGTCAGAACAGTGTACACTGATGCGTGTATCTGTAGCTTTTTACCAGACCCTAGCATATATTACATGATAAGATTTGGTCCCACAGTTAATTTGCGTTACTGTAAGGTTGAAATCTGAGCAGGAGCTGTGTATGGACACGCATTTTTCACCTTTCTTCAGAGCTGTTTTCTTCTAGCCCTGAATTAGATGTGTGATACCAAAGAGCAAAACGTTTCTCTTCAAAACAAAAAAAATATGGTCTGATTCCGCTGAAGGTTTATACCATTTCTGTCCTTCATTCAAAACTGCAAAATATAAAATATAGAATTGGATTGGGACGAGAAGAAATTATTATTCTGTCTAAACTGGGTGTTCTGTCTAAACAGGAACAGAGGGAAGTATTATTACTCACTTAATATAAGAGTCACTGCCGTTAGATTGGAAAATACCTGGGTACTTTCTTCCCTATCCTGAAAGGATTACGATTTTGTTAAAGGTGCTCCAAGGTTGTCACTGTGGATTGGGCCTCTCCTGGAGCAGGGAGATGCAGACTTAATTTCCCCCACAGATTTGAGGTGAGCTCCACTCTGAGAAGACTCCGGATGGAGATAGAAGCACTGTTCCAGAGGCCTGGGAAATTAAGAGAAAAGAGGAAAATTTCCAAGATCTGCATTTTGCTGTTGGTTACGTGACTCCTTCATTGGATTTAGCACTGATTTCAGACCCAGTATTCCTTCAAGTTAGGCATTCAGGTCTGTGTGGTTTCCTTCAGAAAGCTGCAATTTGGAATGAAAAGCTGTTTAGATTGGAGTTTTGGGCTGGATCTCAAGATTTCTTATGCAATATTTTGAGGATATTTGGCAGTTGTATTCTTCTCTGGAGAGAAGTAATTAAATGTAAAGTAATCAGAAGGCATATCTACTAAATATTAGCAGGAAAGTCACACAAATCACTGCTGTCTTACAAACAAATGTAAAATCACACCAAGCATGCTTATGCCTATTAGTGCACATGGTCATTTACGCTGCCTGTCACAAGATTCCTGTCATATGTAAAAAGTCACACTGAGCCCAGTGCAGTTTTTTAGGCACTGCTTTAGGCTGTAAGAACAAACGAATGCTTTCACAATTGTAGATGGGCACAAACTGCTGCTCAGCCTCCTTGCCATTGATTAATGCCTTTCTCTTGTGCTGGTGCTTGTTGACTGTAAAGCTCAGTGGGCCAGAGACTTATCTTTATTATGCCTCTCAGTGGTACAGTGAGGTCTTTAGATTTTACTGCAGTTGCTATTTTATACTTACGGTATTCCAGATTGCTCTCAACATTATCATAAGGGAAAAAATGATCTTTCTGTCATACAGTTTCCCTCCTACAACATTAGATGTAACAAGTACATCTCCAAAAGGAAAACAGCTTTCTACTGCATGCCCAGAAGAAAATTCCAACTTATGCCAAATGTTAGCACTACCCAGATTGTGTCTCCCAGGCAGTACAAATTGGCATGAAAATTACCGGATATTAAGTAGTAGCCTGACTTAAAAGCTCTGTTTCTATATTCTTCCCCTTTCTGCTTCCACAGGCTCATTTTGATTGTTGTTGTTGTTAAAGGCTTATTAAGAAATCTCATATTCATCAGGGTTAAAAAGACCACCAAGATCATCTAGTCCAACCATCAGCCCATCACCACCATGCCCGTGTGGTGTTCTCCCATTCCCTGGCATGATTTGCTGTTGGAGTGTTGGGGGAAGGGACTGGCTCTCCCAGACTTCGTCTTCTTTTTCCATCTGTGCTTGCAAGCCCAGTAAGAGGCATTCTTGTATGAATTGTCTAAAACAGTGTAGCTGTTCAAGTGAAGCTGTGATCTCTTGTTGTAACGGTATTTGGAGATATTGAATTAAACCCCTGTAGATGCCAAAGGAGGATTTGCTATAGACTTCAGCCAGGTCAATAGAGCAATGGCTTTTCTTGTGTCTTCAGATCTGGGAGTTCTTTAGCCATCTGTGCAGCAAATAAAAGGCCTTTGGAGACACCCAGCTTCTTCCAACATGTACACACATTTCTCTCACCTGAATTTTATTTTTTTTTTCTCCCAGAGATCTGGAGTATTTTTGATACTTGTTTGTTTTCCTTTCCCTGCAAAAGGAAAATCTATGTCTGGCAGCTCCAGTGACATAAGCCATGCAGATTCAGAGCATTTGGAAACAATTTATGTTAATGTTCCAAAAACTAAAATGCAAAGATTTATGTTATCCTTTGTAACTATGAACTAGCAGTTCAAACTGTGCTGGATTTCTGGCAAGAGGTGGTTATTTTTCTCTACTTAGCAGTTATTGCTATGTTCATTACCTACCATCTTGATGCAGCAACTGCAAACCACTATTCTAAGAGCTAATCATTTTTCAAAACCGGGTCATAATGCTGTGCCGAGGCACAGGGGGAGCTATTTTTTTCATTTTAATTTACTTCAGGAAGAAAAGAAATAACGATTTAACAAGGGGAATCCACCTGAACTTCACAAAGGGAACCAGTAGCTGGCTGCAGGGCAGGGGCTGCCTCCTGGTGCTGCATGCATCCCTGACCCTCCAGCATCAGGCTTCTGGCCATGGAGAGCCAAGCCAGCACATGCAGAACTACTAAGCATCTCTCAATGGGCCACCAAGGGACACTTTGTTTCCTGAGATTCTGAAAGCTAAGCCAAATATTGAGACGCAATTGATACAAAAAGCCCAGACATGCCCTTCTCCAGCCATAGACTCTGTTTCTGCCACAGGCTGCTGGAGTACCACTCAGTGAAGTGCATTTCATGATCAAAGAGAAGAGAAAGAGTATAATTTTGCAAAATTATTGAGACATTGAAGCTTATTACTATGACAGCTGCTCATACCACCATCTAGGAGAACTGGGGTCATTTACTCCAGAGTAGGGGACACACAGAGAAGACTCTCTACAGTGACCTGAAAGGAGGCGGTGGTGAGACAAGAGTTGGTTTCTTCTCCCAGATTACACTGATAGGATGAGAGGGAATGACCTCAAGCTGCCAGGGGAGATTCAAGTTGGATATGAAGAAATATTTCTTCTTTGAAAGAGTGGTGAGGCAGTGACACAGGCTGCCCGGGGAGGTGGTGGAATCACCATCTCTGGATGTGTTCAAGAAAAGGATAGATATGGTATTTAGGGACACAGTTAGTGGGCATGGTGGTGATGGTTTGGTGGCTGGACTAGATGATCTTAGTGCTTTTTCCAGCCTTACTGATTCTTTGATTCTATGATTCTTTGTTCAGGTCCCTGAAAAGGGAAGGCATTATTACTGTAAGGAATGAGTTGCTGGGTATCCTTGTATCCCATGATCTGGGATAGCTTATGTTAAGCTTGTAAATGAGGCAGGGATGCCCAGATAGATCTGGCTGCAGTCTTTCTTACACTTGTTATTTTTAAGCTGAGGAGAAAGTGGAAACAGCTTTCTGTTGCTGTGGCAGAGAAATCCTTTGTAAGCCCATCAACAGAGTTAGGCTTCCTGTCTTTAAGAAATCAAAGCCTCATAATACAACATCATTGCTGTCACCAATCAGCCCTGTTAACAGTGTCTAGACTGTTTTACCAATGTCCAAGGTTAAGATGTCAGAGGTATCTAATTACAGAGGTATTCCTCACTGCTTCTGAAATTTTTAGGCTCAGAGTAGGTATTTGTAGGTCTCCTAGGAGCTCCTTGCAAAAGCAGGGAAAACTTAATTTGATAGTTGAACATAATAACAAAATAAATAAAACAAAAATATCTTAAATAACCCACCCAAACCATTCTACATCCATGCTAAATTTCAAAATGAATTTTAAAATCTTTCTATTTATAACAGACTTTTAAAAGTTACCTTAAAGCCTTCTACAGAGCCACGGTTAGGTTATTCCAGCGACTCAACTTCCTTGTACATAGGACACTTATTTTACCTATGGTATAACATTCCAGTGTCTCTTTATAAGTACTTTAGAGCAATTTTCTGAGCAGACCGACCACAACATGTTCAGATAACCAAAGCATATCCGATTCCTGTCTGGATCGCAGTCAGCCTATCAGAAATTGGAAAGTCTGCTATTTAAGATTGTTCTCCTTAAAATAACAATACTAAAGAACAGAAAATGTTCCTTGAGTGGGAAGGTTTCCACTGTGGCTGCCTGTGGTAATCCTGTTGACAGTGGTGGAGAAGGAAGACTCCAGCTGAGGTTTCTGTGTGGTTTGTTTTGTTTGGCATTCAGTAAAGATCTGCTCCAGCCTAGAGCCATTCTTGCAGTTGTAGAGTGAGCACCAGCATTGGTAGCTACAGATGGCACTGAAGAAATAAGCACTGATACTCCGAACGTGTACCTCACACAATTTACAGTGATTAGCTGAGGTTGACACTGAAGTGAGTAGAGGATGTATGGATTTAAAACACTCCTTAATACGTATCATTTACAAAAGAAGTCTATTTAAATGACACAGGATGATTCTAAAATCCACCACAGCAAGGAAGAGTGCGGCTCAAGAGGAAAGGTTTGCCTTTACGTTCTATTTCAAAGTCTTTTTAAACTGCTCTCTGCTTTCTTTTTCTTGAGGGATAAACAAAGGCTTACTCAAAAGAGAGAGACCATATACCTGGCATTACTTAAGCAGAAAGTATGACAAAGAAGTATGTAAGCAGATAACAGAAAGTGATAGCATAATATTAATAAAACCCACTGTTATCTAATAAACCTAGTGTTATCTAAATAAGATCAATAAATCCTACTGTTATCTAATAAACCTACTGTTATCTAAATAAGATTAGTAAAACCTACCGGCTTTACGCTATGGTAATAATTCTTAATTAAATGACTGCAGGTGCTAGACTTCAACAGAGGCATGTTTTTCCAGAAAAGGATTGCTTATTGACAAGAACACTACCAGGAAAATCTGTCCCTAAGATGAAAACTTCCAAAAAGCATACTGTGCTGCCATGCAATGAAATTTCTGAGTTCTTCTACACTTTTGAAATCCCATACAATCTAGGACACAAAAATAGAATATTGTCCCAAATATTCAATGTTTGCTTCTTTCTACAAAGGACAGAAACAACACTGGAAGGATCCTATGGAGGAAGAATGCTTTGTTATTTGATCTGGCCTTCAGCAAAACAGTTCTGGCTTTCTCTCTGGCTCTGTCTACAGAGGCAAGACCACAAAGCCCTTTCTGTCTAAGATAACTGGCACACGTGGTGACTGGGAGGATCTGTTAATGCATGTCCTTCAGCTGCTGTGCAAAACTACTGTAGCAGTAAATGCCTTGGCACTGAAGCATCCATACTTCTCTCTTAAGCTTCTGTGCCTTTGGCTTCCAAATGGTGGCAAAAAAAAGTAAGTCTTAGTGATGCCCATTCACAGAATCACAGAATCACAGAATCACAGAATCACAGAATCACGGAATCACAGAATGGCCAGGGTTGGAAGGGACCTCAAGGATCGTGAATTTCCAACCCCCCTGCCACATGCAGGGCCATCAACCTCCCCATTTAACACTAGATCAGGCTGTCCAGGGCCCCATCCAACCTGGCCTTGAACACCTCCAGGGACGGGGCATCCACAGCCTCTCTGGGCAGCCTGTTCCAGCACCTCACCACTCTCTCTGTAAAGAACTTCCCCCTGATGTCTGACCTAAATCTCCCCTCCCTCAATTTAAAACCATTTCCCCTTGTCCTACTCATATCAACCCTTTCAAAGAGTTGATTCCTCTCCCCTCTGTAGGCTCCCTTTAGGTACCGAAAGGCTGCAATGAGGTCACCCCGCAGCCTTCTTTTCTCCAGGCTGAACAAGCCCAGCTCCCTCAGCCTGTCCGCATAGGGGAGGGTACATCTTAGAAAAAGAGGTGGATTACAGCAGGGCAAAATCAGTTGTGTCCAATTTGTCGACTGGACTTTGGCTGAACACAGTGAGCAGAGACGAGGTGTTAATGTTGAGTCAAAGTGTCTGTGGTGCACAAGAGACTTAGAAGCAAGCACAGAAGAACAAAGGGAGCCTGGAGACAATGAGGCAGGTGATCATTTTGTGGTCAAAATCCTTTCTAACTGGAGAAGGAAGATGTTGGGCAGACCATGAAAAGATACAACATAGAGCGGAGGAGGAATTCAGCAGTGGTAGGATTCTAGTCTCTGAAGATACTTTTGGTCTTCGGAGGTACTTGGACAAGAATCCTACAAAGCAAGTGAAAGATTCATCCCAAGAATGCTTCAAAGCAGTAACAAAATAGAGCTAGGGAAATGCTTACAGATATATATATCTATATTTTATGCCACTCATTGTATTTCTTATGCAAGATGAAGTAAAGAGTGATGGGTTTTGAACAGTGTGACTGTGTTTGCCAAGAGTCTATATCTACTTCCTACCTCCAAACATGCAACCCTAAGGATTGCTGTTCTGTTGTTGATATACTTACAACTTCAAAGTTGAAAATTTGCTGTGAAAGGAAGAGATGAATATTCGTATGTCAATGTTACGCTCATTTACATTCCTCTTAACAGTGTATTACTGGGTATACACTAAACATTTAGCATCCTGGTTAATATTGGACAATATAACATAGAAGAGTATGTAAAAAGATAAGAAATGAAGACTACAACTCTTTCACCTGACGTAAGCAATACGACATTCAGCCTTAAAAAAAGCTTCTCGTATTTTCTAATCAACTATATATATGCCCACTTCCTGGAATTGTTAAAGCCAGATTAACTGGGGCTTTAGGCAGCGTGACCTGGTAGAAGGTGTCCCTGCCTATGACAGACAGAGCGTTGGAACTAGATGATCTTTGAAGTCCCTTCCAATACTATGATTGTATTCTTCCATCCTATGATTCTCTGATTGTCTATATAGCTACTTAGTATTGTTTAAATGTTAATGCTTCTTTGGCTGTCAATTTATCCAAGATTTATTTCCATGAAACCTGTCATTACCATTTCACATCCTCTCTTGGGAAGAATCTGCATCACAAATGTGTGCATATATAAATGATGCATTAAAATTGCGTGATTAAAATTAATCAATCTAAAAATGCAAATTATGAGATCCCCAACCTCTGAAGCAGTACCCAAATGAGAGAAGGTGATTGTCTACAACACCACACCATCCAGAGTTTCTTTGAAGATGCTCAGGATCCATTTATCCATAAGAAAAATACTAATGAGACTCAGACCTCCAGTGTATTGGTCAGCAGCAGCAGGCATTCATTCAGTTTTCAGCTTGATTTCAAAGAAGCCATTTCCTCTGGCTGATAGCACTAACATTTATCCAGTTCTCCCTTAAGCTCTCAATGTTCAGTGCCCTGCAAGGCAAGGAGGTGAGGATGACGACAGATAAGGCATTGCTTGGCTCTCTGGCTTGGAACTCAGTACCCTGGAGAGCTGAGTCAGAGTCACTTATATGAGAATATGTCTTTACAGCCCACTCCCACTGTTTTCTTTCGGAGTGAAACTTTGAATTTGCAGTGCAGTGTGTCACCAGCTCTTACAATTGCAGGATCTGTACTTTGCCACTGACTTTTTTTTTGGTCTTTTAACATTGAAAGCATGATGGGATCCCACAGAAGTGTATTGGGTGTGACTGAAGGAGTTGTCTAAATTTTTTCTGACGCCAAGTGGGCCCACTGAAAGTGCTGACAGGAGAGATGTGATGTCAGGGAAAGGGACATCTTTAAGAAACTGTCATAGTATCATGGAATCATAGAATATCCAGAGTTGGAAGGGACCCATAAAGACCACTGAGCCCCACCCCTGGTTCCACACAAAACCACCCAAAAATCAGAACATATGTCTTGGCTCCCCAGTTCTTTACAGGGAGGGGCCTCCATTACATGTAACTATATTATCTTCCCATATGTAGGAAACTGGACCTTATCTTTGTACTTTGGTCAGATACATACTAAAGACTAGATTGCCATTTCATGACCCTCATGGCAGAATGGTGAGAACCAAATGTACATAAGTTCTACCCCAAGTCTTCTGCTGTCTTGGGTTCTCCTAAGTCTTCTCAAAATACCTCAAGTGCTGGTGCATCTCCCAGCCTCAGACCTGCAAGTCAAGTGAAAATGTCACGTGGGACCTCCAGGCAACTTTCACAAACATGGTTTCTCAGCAGTAGCAGTTTTTTGACCTTCCAGTGGTCTCACTCACCTTATCCACGCTTTGGTTTGGATAGCACAAAAGATCACTATCTATGCTATAGCTAGTGTAAAACACAGATTTATTAGTGCTCTGGCCAGATTTTGGACATGGCAGTGCCATGGTAGTGTTTGGAACTGAGTTTTCAATACATATAGCACCTCATATCCTTTTTTTAAATTTAAAAAAAAAAAAAAAAATCCCAAAATGTGACCTACAATATGCATGGGCTTTGTTAAAGCAGCCTTTATGGTCCATTCACTCACAGTTAAATGATGATGCAGAAAACAATCAAAATTTGACAAGAATATTTTTTTTTAAAATGTTTTTCAGCCTTTCAGATCCAAATGCCTGAAATAACTGTTTTCAGTTTACCTAAAAACATCAGGCTGACAGGAGGCACAGAAGACTTTAGGCAGAAAGCAGGGAGATCTGTGAATGTATGAAAAGATGAAAACAGGGTTCACAACAGAAACTGCAACCTTAGCGAGAGAATTCCTTCACATTGGAATGTGTGTAAAGTGCCTAATAACACACACCCTTGTGTTGGCACGATTCTTATTTAAGACACTGGGCAAATATGTATAGCCAACAATATACATTATAGCAATTGACCTTGGACCTAATGATCAGTCAGCAGTCGTTAATATACTTCTAGATGGGTGTCAGGGGAGTAACAACAGCAGCTGGTATGTAGATTTTACAAGGTTTGCTTTCTTGTACTGTATACAGCAAAGTTACAGTATGCAGGTATCAAGTGGACGACACAAAAGCCATATCCCTTTAGGGAAGTCAGAAGTTTAGAACAGCCATTAATGCAGACAATGAAAGTATTTCCTTTATTATGCACACAGAGGTAACCATGTGAGATGGCATATAGTAAGCATCCAAATTATCGGAGCTGCACACACATGCACAAAGAGAGAAGCATGAAAGGAAGGGTTTCAGAGCTACTAATTGGGATTTGCATTCTAATTTATTCTCACCATGTACAAAGAATAAATATAATGCTGATGGCTCCTGTTTTCCCTGTACACAATCTGCCCACAGCATTTGCCCGAGAACAGGAGAGGCTACCTTTGTTTCATATGCATCTACTCTTGCTACAGTGCAAAAATAATCCTTTGTTGTGCTGGGAAGCGGGAGGTGTGCACAGAGGTGTAAGAAATCCTGAGCCTGGCTTCTGCTTGTTCTGACCTCCCCTTACACACACAGCACAATACGGTCATTAAAAACAGTTACACGAGAAATGACCCTGTGCCTCATCAGCTCGCTATATGTCACCGTATGGACAGACAAGCAGCAGTAACTGCTCTGATGAGGAATTTATCTTTTCCTCCTCTTTACAGCCCTGGCTGTGTGCTGAGGAGGAAGGGGACCTGGAGTCTCTCTCCTTGCATCCTTACCCAACAATCCGCTGGGTACCACATATCCCTCTCCATCTCCCCGCACCCTTTGTTTAAAGTGGCACATCCTAAGGCACAGTCCGTGGGGAGGGAGGAGGGAAAAAGAGATATTTACTTACAGAGCAGTGGCGGGCAGCTAGTGTCACCTCCTGGACCTGGGGCAGAGGGTCACATCCATTAACAGCTGTACCACGAACACACTGGCCTGCTTGCTGAGGTGCAGCCAGCCGAGGCTCTCTCCTGCCTGCTGAGAGCAGCTCTTCTCATTTCAGCTCTGCAGGCAGCGTGGTGTGGAAACAGCCTGCTGCCTTCCCCAGCCCAGTGAAACCCCTCGGTATCATTTTACCATATAAGGAGACAAAAGCATCGGAGACATTCATTCTTGTAGGCTCTCTGCAGCTGGCACCCGGCACTTGCTCTCTTCCAAGGGTGTCAATACTTCCTCCTCCTAAACATCTTAGCTTTATTGGCCCCCTTCCTAAAATAAGCCTCCCCCCGCCTCCTCCAGCCTTTGTTTCTTTAAACCCCTGATGCTTATTAATAACAGAGCTCGGCTAAAATGGAGGGGTCTTGCTTTACAGAAGGAAAGGGTTTGCAAAGCCAAACGTTTGTACGTCTCTTCACCTGTCTGAGAGAATAAAAGCATCTGGTTAAGGTCAGTCACTTGGCTGCTTTGCCTCTGTGACAGTGCCTTGCTCAGAGAAGATTGAAAAGAGCTGTCTCTTCCTTGGTGGAGAGGTGCACATTTTTATGAGGAGCAAGTCTGCAGACGTCTTTGTGGACATTCAGAGCCCCTTGTTTCCCCCTGCCTTTTTTTCTTTCTTTCTGTTTCTTCCCGTAATGAGGTGGGGGGAAGAAAAGCATGGGAAATCAGTGAAGGCAAAAAGCCCCTTGTGCATGAGTGAGCCAGGGGAGCAGATTGCCTCAGCACATGCTTGAGACCCAGCTGAGAACCCTGCCAGTGGGCACATGCTAAGAAGAGAGCGAGCCATTAATCCTCCTATAACCAGGAATGAATTTTTCTGCTGCAGAATCCAATTTCATTTATTCTAGCAGAATAAATGGGCTAGCAGAAACACATTCTGTTAATCAAAACAGTGAGGGTCCTGAGAAGAATTTGGATCAGAAGCAATGGGGGTGCCTGCTCTCTGCCAGTGAAGGGGTAGAGTGGGAAGGCAATTCAAGATAACACCTACTGGTGCCTGATGGGAGGAGATGCTTCAAATCAAACACCAGGAAACTAGGAAGATGAAAAAGTAAAGCCCATTAGCCTGCTGTTGTTCTGCAAGGTAGTCCAGTGTCCTTTGTGTTCGTACTGGCTCGTGCTTGGTTGGTGGTGCAGGTACACAGATCACAGACCACCACAGGACCACAGGATGGCAGAGGAAGAGCCCTCAGGGTCCCTCAGGCCCACCCCCTCTCCAGCAGGGCACCCAGAGCAGGGTGCCCAGGGCCATGGCCAGGTGGCTGCTGGAGATCTCCGAGGAGGAGATCCTACAGCCTCCAGGAAGCCTATGTGCAGTGCACCACATAGCACAGAAGTACTGCTTGAGATGAGTTTGCTATGGGTTTCTCCTGAAACAAACAAACAAACAGCAGACACACACAAGCAACAAAAATCATGTACCAGAATCCTGACTTGCACTCACTGTCCTCTTGCATACCTGAATGGTAGTTAAATTTTGAATGGGAATTAAACATTAGTCAGTCTCAGCTCTACTCAAAATCTACCAAAAGCACAGACAGAATAAAATTACAAGAAAGGGCCATTTCAAGTTCTTCTCTGCAGATATCAGTTACTCTGGTGTCCATCAATGACCACGGGTCTGTCTGTTGCTGTGGCCCTTATGATCCCATTTTCAAAGCACGGGCATTTTGCCCTAGAGGACCAACCGCGCATGTATGGGACTGTGGAGTTTGGTTCCATGGTAATTAAAGCTCCTTTAATTCAAAGCTTTGCACTCCCAAGCCATGTGTTGCTGGCTACTCCCTTACATTGGCACTGGCACTGGCAGATGAGTTAAACCAGACACTGAGCAACTTTCAGTGAGCTCTTAAGTTTCCATAGCTGCACACCTGTCTTTGGAGGGCTGCTGGCTGGGTGTCTACTCCTATCATTGGCTTACCTGATGCCCTTGGACAAGATATTGCATCTTTCTGGTCTTTAGTTTGCTTATCTGCAAATGTAAGAGTTGCTGCAAAATGTACAAAGGGCCAGTTAATGCAGAATAACCTTTCTTTCTTTTGCATTAAATTATTTCACAATGACAACAATTGTTTCTTTCAATCTGAGCTACAGCTCTTAGCTCAGCTTCGATTTAGAAGCGGATGAAGTGCGTAAAGAATAAAAACAAGTCTTGAAGGTGATTGGATTTGGAATATTTGTTTCATTCATTTCCAGGCCTTTCCAAAAGAAATATTTTGAATATGTTATTTGATTTTTTTTCTATTTCCATCATATTCACTTCCCTATCTGTCCACTGACAGCCAAGGCAGCAGCTCTGCCAAAGATTTTTTGATGTGAGCTGCTGGAACATACTACAGTGTTTTCCCCAATTACAAGTTAAAAATACATGCTGGCTCTAGCTGAAATTGTTTAGCATAACTGTTGCAGGCCATGAGTTGACTTTGGTAAGATGAGATTATTTTTGTCTGATTTATCCAAAAATCTCTTTGTCCCTGAAGGCAGAAGAACTTCTGCTGATTTATAACCCAGATTTATAACCCCCCTTGTGGGGCTGTGGACTCACTATTGGTCCTGAGGCTCATCATCAAGCCTGCATGGAGCCTGAAAGAGGGAGAATTACCAGACAGTTCCTTTCCTCATCCCATGATGAGTGCACTCCACCAAACACGACTCTTCTTTAGGGCTGAAATACAAGTACATTTCCGTGCCATTCTGTGACTCAGAAACATAACCCATGGCTTATAAATTTCTCACCTATGTTGCATTTATTTTTTGTTCTTCAGTGCCTTATTAGTTTTAAATCTGATACGGAGAAGGAAATGATACAGGAAAAATTTCATATACACACTGAGACTTGTCAGTGGTTTCACCAATCCTTCAGAAATCTCGCTTTAACTACTAGGCTGATGCCTCAGTAGCTACCATTTCAACACTTATCTTCTTTCTCTGAAAAGATTAAACAAACAAACAAACAAAAATAGTGGAAAAAGATGGCTGAATGTGGAATATTTCTATTTCCCCCAACTTGAGTCACACAGAAACTTAACATCTCTGAGGGAGCAGGGATGGCGGAAAACACTGCCTTAAAGTTTGAAAATAGCTCAGCTACTGACCGATTCCTTCCATCATGATTTTATCCTGGAAATGGTTGTGTTACTTTATCAAAATTCAGCAAATCCCTTTCTGATGCTGGAACCCATATAATACATGCTTCCGTTGGACATGAGAAGGTGCGTTTAGGAGAACTGCTGTTTCTAGCAGTACTGCTTAGGAAATAGTGCAGGCTTATGCAGACATTGCATTTTAGTTCATTAAACTTGAAATAGCAACAAGGCAATATTAAATCTTTCTGAAATTTCACTCTGATGCAATATTCTTAGATGTGTCATTTTGCTCAAGCGTATGAAGAATACGCAAATACTAAATGGTTTGGTTTTAGTCTATATTTTATCTCCCCATTCAGTCTCCCGGTCTTAAGTCTTTTTGCAATATTCTGATATAGCTTTTTTTTTTCTTCTTTTTTTTTTCCACCTGAGTGATTAGAGAATCAAGCAGAAATAACCATAAATATGTAGAATGAGTAAGAAGTATCAGGGTTTCACAAACTCTGAACAAAGTACAGATCTCCCTGGACAATCCATTAAATCCATTGCAACCAAAGAAGAGTATCTTTACATGCACTGGAAGCCTGCCTAATTTAGGTTGATGCACAGCTTTTATAAGGATGTTTAGCCTAAGTCAGTATGAAAAGCTTAGTATTTTAGAAATTCCAAACAAATATAGGAAATAAGTACTTCCAGTGTTTTCTTTCTTAACATATTTTCCACCAACAGTTTTAACAATTTCAGTTTTAACAATTTTCTTCAGTGAATTTAGAGTAAGATACCATGGTTCAGCAGCACTGAAGATCCTCTATTTTTGTACAGGAGCCCTTATCTCCAGAAGGGAAATGTGTAGTTATCCATATTGTATCATATGTCTGTCAAGGCCTTCACTGGACAAGCAGCCTTGTCAGAAAAGACATCCTGTATCCTCATGGTTTAGAAGCCCATAACAACCACTTCAGGCTACTGGAAGCCCATTGAACAACTCCCCAAGACAGATGTCTGTGTTGTGCAAACCAGCCATCCTGGAGAGCCATCAAATGAAGAAGAAATCATGAAGAGTGGTATCAAATATATCAAAGAGCGTGGAAGGTAGCAATTCTTGTTGTGGAGTGCAGTTCTTCCCTTCCCTGCTTCCTTTATCGGTGTTTCTTCATTTTTCCCCTTTTAGTGAACAGATGGTGACTCTGCTTCTAAGGAAATGAAACATTTTGTTTTCTGCCATGCTCACACTTCCTTGGTCTCTAAGCATTCCCTAAGCCCCTCAGCTCTCTAGTTAGTTTATCTATGACCACCAGGGACAGAGATCCCAGTTTCACACCTTTGGAAGTGCCACAGGATCAAGAGACTAGAGCTTCTGGCAAGAGTTGAGTAGTCTTTAGGCACAGAGCTTTATTAAAATAATCTTAAAAACAAGGATGAGAAAGCATTTCTTCACTGCTTTGTTGCTCAAAAGTATTTTCTCTGTATGTCGTAGAGGACACCCAGGTAACAGTGCAGAGCCCTGTGTGGAGGAACTTTTGCTTTTTTTCTTTCCTCTGGATTCAGCTTGATGCGTGGTCTCACTTAGGACAGAGGGGAAGAGGCTTTTGGGTTTCCTACCCTTGCAGATGGAACCTGAGCTGCCAATTTACTACAGAGCTCACAGTAATTGCTGGTCTTCCGAATTGGCAAATGCAACCCCTTAATTAAGGCTTTATTCATTTTGATATAATCATGATTTACAGTTCCCAGTTTCAGACATATGAAATAAGCACACTGGGATTGTTCCAAAAGCCTAATCACTGTATTTGTGATAGCACAAGAGACATGCAATTCTATACAAAACAGATCACATACCTAGGCACTTCCCTCGGTGCTCCCACTGAGCTCTAGCGTTTTTAGGCAAAACCCCTTTCCAGAATCCTCCCCCGCTCACTGCTCCACGACCCATGGTTTCTCCTCCAAAACATTGGTTCTGAGAGAATATTTTCCTCCTGCTCCCCTGAATGCCATTTCAGCCTGCATCTTTTATGACCCTTTAGAGAGAGCCAGTAACAACATTTGTGACTGCCACTTCCTGCTATCAGACATGCCGTGTCCCAGGGAACTT